GCTCTTGACTGAAAAACTTTAGTAGCCCTAAAGATTAATCTAAATGTATTTATAGAAATAAATACGTCTGCTTGAAAAAATGAAGAATATGGTAAACAAGTTGCTATAAAGAATGCATAATTAGCCGATATAACATTGGTATTTCATTAATAAGAAGACCATGTTCATGTTCTTTATGAGAAGTGGTTTTATTTAATTTTAACATAAAGGCATGTTGTGTGTCACCGCAGTTAAATCGGTGTCTATCATGATAAAACCTTAATATCAAACCTATATAATGAGTTCGGAAATTTGAGAGAAATTCTTAATAAATGCATTACTCTGTAACTAAACCCATTCGATTTTAGCCGACTACATTTACTGTAGATTTAGTCGACTAAAACTAAAAACAATTCAGATGACTAAAATAGGACTAAAACTAAATGGCATTTTAGTCAAAAGAGTATGACTAAAACTAAATAAAAATTTGCTGTCAAAATTAACACTGGTGACCTCTATGATTTTCAGGTGTTTTAGGTGAATCAGATGATCAGGACGATGAGGATTGTTCTGATGAGGACGATGAGAGTTTGTGAGTCATGCAAGCACAGATTCAGTGATGACAGTTTGTCCTTTTAGGTACTAATATGTACACTTTAGGTATTAAGATGTACCTTTAAAATGCCAATATGGACTATTTAGTTTTTTTTTTGAAAAGGTACCACCCCAGTGACAACATTTGTAACTTCTTTTGAAGAACCCAGCTAACAAAATTACGTAACTTCTGTTCCAACAGATTTGAATGATGAACACAGACCCGAAATGAATTCAGTTCATTTATTTTGAAAAACACACAAGTATGAACAGTAAAATACACTCAAATTATTAATAAAAACATAGGATATACAGCGAAATATGAATGAAAGAATTCAAGATGTTCCGTGCTCAGCATCAATATAAACAGATATGCTAGCGTAACATTTGCTAGCAGACATTTCAGATGATTAAGTTAAGATACCATAATCACAGAGGTATAAATATTAACTAAAGTACTTAAAGTAGACTGTGGGTAATGTTACTTAACTAATCTGACGCAGTTGTTATACTATTTTTGGTATAACTGATGAGAAACGGAGAGAAATGTCAGACGCATCCTCATTGTAACTCAACGGCCACCAGTACTATACATAACAATAATAATAAAAAAAGAGTTTTAGCGTCTTTCCAGAGTTCAATAACTGTATTTTATACATTTATAAGCCTATTTATATGTTATATATTGTAAGATTCACCTCAGAAAAACGACAAACTGTCAGACACAGTTGAAGTAGCTAAAAAGTGCCTCAGACAAATGCTGTCCTGATTCAGTATCTGCGGCAGATGAGATGGTGTAGCCTGGTCGGTGTCATTATTTCAACCTTATCTTCATAACTCGTTAAGAAATAAAAAGTTTCACGACTCAAAAAAAAAAGTTTTTTTTCCCCCTTACTTCCCTGTTGAAAAAACCAGCATATGCTGGTTAGGTATGTTTTGACGCTGGGATGCTGGTTTAAGCTGGTCCTTTGCTGGTTTATGCTGGTC